AATAAAAATTCTACATAAGAAAATAAACTTCTCTTGGCCTCTTTTCCCCTACTAGCCACTACCTTCATTATTCTACTTTCTTTATGGCAAAACTAACCCCAAAAGAGATGTCTCTAATTGCTGTTTTGATCATCTCTATTCTCTCTTCTTCTCCATTAGTGTTTGCCCACCACACATCAAATTTGTTTTTGTCAAGGTCACCAAGGAACTGTATACGACCTAAACCAACATTCCGTCCTAAATCCTTATTTTACTTAATCTAGCAGCAGCAGCATTTGACACGCTGAATCACTTCTCCTCGAGAGACTCCAGTTGGTATCCTGGAGCCTCCCTCTGCAGGCTTCCCTTGTACTTCATGGCCATTTCCTCTCAACTCTACCCTCAATAACAGGTATGCCCATAGCTCACTCAGACTTCTTCTCTTCTTTCTACACTATTTCCTAGATGATATAATCCAATCTCATGATTTTAAGGAACATGATAACTGCGTATTTTACATCTACATTTCTGACTTCTCCAACTGCCTGTTTTGCATCTCCACCTAGATGTCTACATGGCATTTCAAACATAACTAGCACCAGATCTTCCTCCCTTCTTCCCCACAAACACCACCAAAGCTACTTTCCTCTATTCTTCTCCATTTCAGTAAATGGCAACTCCATCATTCCAGTAGCTCATTCTTGACTCCCCCTTCCTCTCACACTCCTCACCTGAGTCCATCAATAAAACCCCACTGGCTCTGCCCTCCAAATACACCCAGAGCTCTCCTATTTCACCATTTGCTGTTGCTGCTCCAGTCAGGGCTGCATGCCTCTGGCCTGAATGGCAGCATCAGCCTGGCTGTCTCCACCCTTCTGCTCCACACTCTGCTCACAACAATACAGAGGGACTCTGTTGAAAAGGTAAGTCAGGTCATATCATGCCTTTGTTCAAACCTGTAGTTGGCCTGACATTTCATTCAGGGTGAAAGCCAAAGTCCTCACAAGGACCCATATGCCCTAAAAATTGGGTTTCTGTTTTCTTTGACCTCTTCCTCACCATGCTGTCCCATGAGAGTCTCTAGGGTGCCTGCAGTTAGTTACCTCAGGACCTTCACAGTTTGGTGTCCCCTCTGCTGGAAATATTCTTTTCCCACAGTTGCTCACTCCTTTCAGGGCCCTTCCTAGTTCCACCTTAGTTGTCATCTTGAAGGCAGCTTTCTTGGCTACCTTCTATTAATTACATAAACTACCTTCTATAAAATCTCTTCAACACATTTCTCTCTATTCCCTTATCCATTTTCAAATGTTGCACATTATGTTATACAGCCACTCATTTTTCATGGTTCATATCCTCCACTAACATGTAAATTCCTTTGAGGCAGAGACTCTGCTTCAAGCCAGTGTCTTAAATAATGCCTGGCACATAGTAGGAACAAATAAATATTGTTGAAGGAACATCTGAAGCCTGAGTAACATATTTTAAGACTATTCAAAGCTTATATATACTGCATATAATGGTCAATAAATTCATCAAATGTAATACTATCACTCTAATGCATAGTATAAACCAAATTTTTTAATTTCAAAATAATAAGCCTAAATAATCATCTCATCAATGACAGCTCTACAATTGGTATCAGACGTACCTGGAGACTTTCTTAGCCACTGTAAATAACATCACGCCAATACTCCCTGCCCTCCCACAAAGCACCCCCCATACAATCTTTACCATTAGGCTTCTCTCCAGAATCATCTGGGTGCTTTGTGCCTTGGCTAGAGTACTGTTTTGGATGGAAAATAAATCTATCTAATATACACAGACATGAAATTTCTTGGATTTTCAAGGCCACCAGGATTGTATTTAACTTAACTCTTTACAATAAAAGGAGCATGGTGAAATGTAATTAAATGTGATGTTAACCTCTTTAACTCATTATAACTAAAAACAAAATCTAATCAGTGTTAAAAATATGCTTCTTTTTGAACAGAAAAAGATCATCTTACCAAGATGGCAAAACCAAAAAGAAGTAGACGTCCACAGCCAGGAAAAACAGTAAGTATGAGAAGTAGGAATCACATTTATGCTTCTATCTTGAAGGAGACCTAAGTAGCTTATGAAGAGTCTAAGATTCAAACCTATAATTAAGCAATCATTATTTGCAGGGTTATTTTTTTTAATGCAAACAAGGCAGAAGGCTAGGAAAATAAAAGAACATCCCACTCACTGGAATAAACACTCTTCTGAAAAGAAGTTAGTCATTTTATAGCATCTTGTGGGAAAACTAAAGACAGGCAATAAAGCAAAACATCAATAAATTATAAAGTTTCTGTCATCAGCATCAGCTCATAACTCTTTCAGAATGCCACAAAATTCTGAAGAATCTGTCTTTAGCAGAATATAAGTCAGGGTAGACGCTAAGTCAGAATGACTCCTAGATACAACAAAAGTAACAAGTGCTAGTAATGGCCTCTAACTTCAGCAGAGCAATCTCTGAGGGGATGAATGTCAGGGTGGCAGTGGGTGAACAGGTCAGTCCCCATGCAGTATGAGCAGAGTTAATGGGTAGGAGCCTCATAACCACCAGCAGCCAGAATCTTTCCCAAGAAATACATATGAAGAAAAAGATTTAGAGATATCAGCCCAATGGAACTTGTAAAGTTTTGAAATTCTTTTTAAACATTTTAATTGCAATATTTTATCCTTAATATGACAATAGCAGAAACATCACACTAAGTAATTTTGCTAATAGTAAACATTAAGTACACAGTATGTGCTGAGCCCTGTAGGCTGGTTAAATATGTCTATGTGTTTCATGAAACCATTCCACAAAACTCATTTAAGCATTTAATGACAACCTATGAAATACAAACTTACCTGCCTAGCTCTCAGCTGTTCAGCAACCTTAGCTCTTTCCAATGTGTCCAAGAATCAAAAGGGAAACAAAAGCAGACACCTTGACATTCAGGTACTGGCCTTCATGTCTGAGAGAAGCTCTCACTCACTCATAGTATATTACAAGGCAAACTACACTCAATCTGGAACTAGGAAGCTCAGGATTTGGGAAGACTTAAGAACTCAAAAGCACAACAACCTAAGGAAGATCATTTAGCTGACCTACTTACCTCATTATAACCTAGTGGTTTATCTGACAGCAGTGTAATAATACCTTTAGGGTAGCTATCCTGGTATGTTTATTGTGGTACCCTCAGTAGGGAACAGAGCTCCGAGCAAATTGTACATGCTCAATTTTCATTAATGATGCTTATAATGGCAATCCTCAATCACCGAAAAGATTAAATGTCATCTAATACATTTTAAGGGAAAAGCAAGCAAAACACATTTGGAAAAATTTTCATCCATTGTTAACATCCAAATAAAGTTTTGAGAGTTAAAAAAGGAGATTCTCAGTAGTCCAGGAAACTTGATTATTGAGTACAACTTAATGAACAACTGCTGAAAGTTCCAGGAAACCAGTGTTTGGAAATGTGCACGGTACTATACTTCCTGCTCCCGGGCCAAAGCATGCTGAGGCTATAGGTAAAGGAGCAATCAGGGATCTATGGGACTGGATAACCAACTGACCACTGCTCACCACAGAACCTCCTTCAGAACAGCAACTCCCATCATAATGGAAATATTTGCTAAAAAGGAACATCCAGAGTTGAACAACAGGGCCAGGGATTTAGCTTAGTGGTTTTGCAGCTTGCTGCACAAGCGCAAGGACCCAAATTCAAACCCCAAAACAAAAAAACAAACAAACAGTTGAGCAACAGAGTTAGCATCCACCATGCAGCTCACGGGAGAGTATAAAATAATCTACCTTGCTTCTGAATACCATTTATATGCCTATCTTTCCTGGAGACTGCTCACCAACAGCTTTAAGGCAGACAGGCAAGGGGTAAACAACTTAGCAGAAGAACCCTAATGAAACAAGGACACAGAGACTCAGAGGTAAGTGTGTGTGCTCTAACTTTAAATACACAATTATTAAATCGAATACAGTTAGTTCCTTCTTAAAAGACACTCTCCTGGTTGCTAAGTAACTGAGGATCTGTATCATACAGGATTTAGAGTTTAAAATGTGGCAATAAAAAGGACCCTTTCCTCTGGCTTTTAAATTGAAAGCAGCTTTTTACGTTCCGAAAGAAAAAATAGAGGCTCTGAACAGAAACTTTCCGATAGGACCAAGAAACCACTATTCCACTGCATGGTGACTTCTGAGCTGACTCCACACAGCCACTGCTTTCCAGAGCTGCATTTTCTTTAAAACCCTCAACGAGGCACCTCCGGCCAAGGTTCCAGCACCAGGAACCAAACCTGCACCACACCACCTGAGCACAGGACAGAATGAAAGAAAGCGGAATCTCTAGTAACTTCTTATTTCCTGGCACTGCTGAGAGGCGGGACTAGCTCCTTCTCACATGGTTAAGAAGAGCTGTAAACACAACCATCCAGCCTGCCAGCTGGCCACAAGCTCGGGGGGCCTTCCAGAACACCCCGTGTCCAGCTCCTCTTCCTTCCTTTGACCAGTGTCATTCCTGTGCAGATAACGGTATTGAACGCCCTCCACTTCCTACAGTCCTTTTTATGACATGGTTCCTCTTTGAAGAGAGCAGGAGGACAAAACGTTAAGTCAAAGAACAAACTAAGAGCAAAACTGCCCTATCACCTAGTTTCATCTCTTCCCGTTGATACTATACAAGAGCTGGATCAAATTCCCTTTGTTGCCCTGCACGCACACCCACAGTAGGTGAAAGGCACCCTAAGCGAACTTATTTCTTCCCTTCTCACAGAAAGCCCCTTCCAAAATCCTCCGGACGCTAGGCTTTAGCATTCAGCTGAAGAGCTAAACCTTTTCAAGTCAAGGTAGGAAAAGCTGAAGTGGTCTCTGAAGCAGAAGGCGAGGCATCAGGGCCAGCTGAGCGCACCTAGATGTTTGCATTTACACAAAGAAATTAGCCGGATGATTAATGGGAGAAGCGGCGGGAGGCGGGGGCGCGGCTCGCCGGCCTCCTTACCTGGGACATCTGGGGCCTCAGGTTGATCTCCTTCAGGTTGATGGAGTGCGCCCGGAGGTTGTTGAGCAGCTGGCAGAGCAGGACTCCATCGCGGAGGGTCTGCGCCAGGTCGAAGACCTGCGCCGACTCCCAGGTCACCCGGTGGTTGGCGGGCAGCACCTTGCAGTGGATCAGCCACTGCGCGCACTGCTTCCACGGCTCCATGCCCGACGGCTGCGGGACGCGGCCGGCCCGGGGCAGGCGCTGGAGACGCCGCCGCCGCCGAGGCTGTTCCTCCGCGCGCCCGCCGACGCCAGCCGCGGCCGGCCCCTGCCCCGCGCGGATTCTAGGGAGCTAGCAGGTCGGGGGCGCCGCGAGGGGCTGGGCTCGCGTCCCGGCCGGGGTCCCCCGCGGCCCAGCCGCTGCCGCTGCCGCCGCCGCAGCGAGTACCGCGCGCTCGCCGTGCGCCCCGGCCGGTAGGGCGGCCGCGCACAGGCTTCCGACTCGGAACCTGGCGCCCGCGACTGAGCATGCCCGGCGCGCTCGGCCGCTGCTGCCGTCTGCGAGTCCCCGGGGGCGCGAGTGCGAGCGCGCGGGCGGCCCGGGCGGGGGCGGGGCGGGGTGGGGTGAAGGTGGGGGTGGGGGCGGGGGCTACGGCCGAGGAGATCCCAGCGCCCCCGCCTAGCCGCCAGCCCTCGCGACCGCGGAGCTTGCACAACCCCGGGCGTCCAGGGATCTTCTCTTGGCGCCACTTCCTGCGGACGGTGTGGCTGAACACTGTGGGACGGCGGGGCTCCCCCTGGCCACCCTGAACAATGCGATTTAAAAGAAGGGGTCTCGGGAGGCCGGCGAATTAATTGGAGCACCTGGCTCCCCGGAAAAGTGAAGGGCGGGCACAGAACCTCTGGACAGCACAGCGCAGGAAGTTGGAGGCCGTCGCCCCCTCGCCCTCCTGACCCGTCCCGTTTGGACAGATAATTCCTCAGCCCGTTCCACCAACTTAGTTCCTGCCAAGGATGCTTTGGCTTCGGCACCTGAGAGTGTGCGTGTGCGTGCCTGAGCGCCTCTACTCCGAGCCTGTTTCCACACGAGGTGTTTTCCCTTTAGAGCTCGTTTTGCTCTCCACTCCTCGGCTCGGAACTGTTCACTGCTCCAGTTCTGGCCCTTTTGCTGACCCCACAAGAAACCTGCCTGAGAAAAATAGGCCGGTGACACGAGGGCAGACTGCGCATGCGTCGGTGGCTGGCGCCCAGGTTAGAGACGCGAGCGCATCGCCTCAGGGCGGCTCCTGTCTAGCTGAGTTAGGGAACCTCAGTGAAACTTGGAACATCTATCCCAACCCCTAAATCTTGCCCTGGCTGAAACAGCGCGTTTGCATTTCTAAAATCTTTTAGGAACCACTAACCTTACCCCCTTTTACTCTCGCTGACCCTCAGAACCAAAAATAGCGTTCAAACTCTTTGTGTCAAGATTTGCAACTCTTGCTGTTCAGTGTAAATGAGATCTTTGGCCACCCTTCCACGATGTGTTCTTTTACATTTTGAAAATAAAAATAAAGCGGAATCCAGTTTGGTGGGCTTTTACATCACATCACTTTGTAAGTTTTTTGTTTGTTTGGTTGGTTGGAGGTTGTTTACAGTAATGAGGATTGAAACTAGTACCTTCACACAGAGTTACAGCTCAGACCTTTTTAAATATTTTTTTAAATTTTGAGACAGAGTCTCATTAAATCAATCAGTTGCCCAGCCTGGGCTCCAACTTGTGATCCTCTGCCTCAGCATCCCAGAGTGCTGGGATTACAGCCGTGTGACACCACACCCGGCTCATTTTATAATTTTATTAGATATCTGCAGCTTGAATTTCCTATTATGAATCATGTTAATTGTGTAAGATGGTCAAACTCATTTTTATTTATGGGGGGGGGTACCGGGGATGGAACTCGGGTCCTTGCGCTTGCGCAGCAGGCGGCGAAACCACTGAGCTAAATCCCCGGCCCTCAAACTCATTTTTAAAAGAATATGTGATCTGTTGAGGACAGGGATTCTGTCCTTTTACACTTGGCTGTAGCAAGCATATCACATTGTGTACACAGAGTTAAACAAATCAGCCCGAGAATTTCCTTTCCTCACATGCATCCTTCCTCAACAATTTCCTTTGTGTTCAACGCAGATTCTATCAATAGCACAATGTTTCCTGGACCATGATTTTGGCGAACACATTAGCTTCCCCCTCACCTGACAGGGATGTGTTTGAAGACCCTCAGTGAATATCTGAAATCGTGGACAGCACCAAACCCTATAAATACAATGTTTTCAGGGCTGGAAGTAGTCAAGCTCTGGGTTTGATCTCCAACACCACAGACATGTGCATGTGCGTTCACACACACACACACACACACACACACACACACACACACACCACCTTTTTTTCTGTATGTACCTACCTATTATAAAGTTTAATTTACAAATCAGTCACAGTAAAAGATTACCAACAATAAACAATGCAATAGGAAATTACAACAATCTATTGTAATAAAATTTATTGGAAATTTATGGACTGTTTATTTCTGAAATTTTTCATTTAACATTTTCAGTCTGCTGTTGACTGCAGAGAACTGAAACCATGGAAAATGAAACCTTGATGAAGTGAGGACTACTGTAAATCATATCAAACTTTACACACTAAATGTGACACAACTGAATCACCATTTAATACAAAGTCCTGCATAAAGAAAAATTAAGTGGGGATGGGGATTTGGCTCAGTGGTGCCCCACCTGTCTGGCAAGCACAAGGTCCTGAGTTCGATCCTGGTAGTGCCCCACCACCAAAAAAAAAAGAAAAGAAAAGAAAGAAAAATAAATTAAATAGAAAAGTTTAAGAAAGGGAGAAATAATAAACTAAAATGATGGGGTTTGGTTCAGGTAGCATTAATTCACCCTTGAATGCTGTAGAATATTTCCAAAATCCAGATTATATATATTATATCAAGAGGCAGACCTTGATTTGGAGTCCAAACTGTGCTTCCTAACATGACTTTGAACAAACTAATCTTCAGCTTCTGAATCTGTGAAATGGGAAAACAGCACTTACCTCATATGGTTTTTGTCGAGATCAAATGATACCACATTGTGGTATTCAAAATGCAGCATGTAGACAGCAGCCTTACCCCAGAGCTTGCAAGAAATGCAGAATTTTGGGCCTTACCGTAGACTGGATGACATTGAACCTGAATTTTAACAAGATCCCCAGATGATACTTATTTCCATCAAAGTCTGAGAAGCACTGATATAATGAATAAAATGTGTAGGGCCTGATACATAGTAATAGCTCCACAAGCATTACCCAATAGTACCTACCTTTCATTCACTGAAAGGCAGCAATAACCACAAAATTCTATTTCAATTTTTAAATTTCATGTATGTTATCATTTATATTGAATATGACTTCAAAATATTACTCTCAAATACAGTAGATCGGAGAATGGATAGATGTGCAAATGGAAACTATATGCAAGATAAGGATGACCTAAAAGGGGGATGGGGAGGAGCCGGGTTCTTCAAGTAAACTAGGGGCTATATGACAAGAGGTGAACTGTACACAAGACGTTATCGTGTATGATCAGTGTGAGAAAAATGGCAATGGCTTCTTACGTGAGCTGTTGGCTGCAGTCTTTTTCCTTCAAAATCTTACTTTCTTGTGAAAATGGGGAGTTTGGAGATAGAGACTAAGAAAGCCAATCTTCCACAGTTGACACAGGACTTCGGACCCCTCCCATGATCCTCTGCCCTGGAGGACCTTAGCAGCCCCTGAGATGTATCCATACTGGACCATTAACTAACAACTCCCCGCTGTGTCAAGCCCTCTACTGGGTACTTTGGATACATTACCTGCAGTTAAAAGATGCCCTCCCCCACCTAGTACATAGATGAAAAGCTAAAGATGAAAGGCATTAGGCACCTTCTTCTTGTTACAGAGCTTAATAAAAGGGTAAGCTTGTGTCTCCACATCTGCATTGTTTCTATTCAGTGCTGTAGCTCCCCTTGTAAGAATGAACTTAACAAATTTACTGATTTAAGTATCTGTCTCCCTGCTAGACTGTAGCACCTTGAAGGCAAGGGTAGTAACTTTCTTCAAATCCTTAGAGCCAACGTTGGTGCTTCTTGGTGCTTGTCACCCAATAAGCACTCAATAAATATTAAAGTGAGTGAATAAATGAACAATGAGCTATGTTGTCCCTCCTTCCCCCTCCCCAATACATCCATCCTCTCTCTGCTCTCTCTTCCAGTGAAAAAATCAGGAAGGATTAGCCAGTGTTACTTGTACAAAGTACAAGGGTTGCATGAAATAAAGGTCTGCTCTTTCCTGTGTGTCTCAGCCTTCCTGGGTCTCCAAGGGGAGCAGGCTGCCCTCTGCTTCATTCTTATACGGCTGTGCTGTTTGGACTTTGACTTAAACCTACAAAGAATAAAAATGGGAAATGAGATGTGTGGCACCTTTAGCTGCAGAAAGGACAACAGATGTTGGATATCAGACGCTGAATCATTTTTCATGCTCAGAATTCCATCATAATCAGAAAAGTGAAGATTGAAGAATTCACGAGGTTATCCACAGGCTTTAATGTACCTAAAAACAGTGTAATACAGAACACAAGAGCCACATAAATTCATTCCTTGCTATACCTGTACACAATCCTTACCAGTTTTTTCTTCTCATTCTTTCTACTCTTCAATTTACAAAAGTATTAAAATCCATCTACCTCCTGAATTTAGAAACACAAACTTATTATATTCCTTATTTTATTTATTTCCTACTTTATGTCACAAGGAAGTAAATCATGTGGGGGGGGCGGTATTTAGCATCTCAAAGATAAACAGCTCCTAAAAGAATTAAGGATGCAGAAACATAAATATTGTGGGCTGCATACTGAAATTAAGGCTCTCTTAGTCTGCTAGGTTAATTTCTTCAACTATAATCAATTGTAGTTTGATTTCATATAAACAAGAGGGATGTGGGATTTAAGACCCTGGAAATTTGATACTAGTTTAAAATAAAACCCAGAAAACTGTTGTGAAGATAAGATGGAGCTAGAATGAGATTTCTGTAATAATTGTTCCTTTAATAGAAGAGCCCAGATTCGTGTATACATAAAGATTTGGGGATTAGGTACAACTGAAAGGGTCTTGACGGGGTCATAGGATTTCTCTTCTGACATATTCAAGCCTGGGTAATAATAACATCAGTAACAACAGTCATAATAATGGCCTTTACTCAAAACAGTCCTTACTAAG